TCAAACTGCAAGGTATAACAGATTGTGCTGCAGAAGCCTCATTTCGGTTATTTACTCATCTTTTCCGATCACCAAGATCTCGGACGGCTAATGGGAGAAGATTAGGCTGAGCAATAAGTACAATATTATCTTATTTTAAAAATAATGACAAACTTTCCATAATATGGCTCTATTGTTCCCGCTAAAGTGGATGGAAGGACCCCAGCACGCTTTTATACTAAGGACTTTGAATTCCACCGCTCTCGCGATAACCCGTCTGCCCGTCTGCTCCGACTCATGTTTGACCCTGTCTTCTTTAGAAGTCCGTCTAAGTAACTCAGCAGGCGAAGCTTATCACAACATTTGTGCCGCAGAAGGACCGATTGGGGCCAACGAAAGGACCTGTGGTCGTTGATTCCAGAATTCCGCAAGGGCTACTACACCCCTAAAGGCCTTCTTCGGGACGCTCACTGAAGGTAGTTTGGGTCGGTCTGAGGAACTCTAACGAAGCAAACCGTACGCTACTACTCGCCGAATTGCTGCAGATAAAGTACACAAGACCGTGAGCCTTTCGCCTATGATAGGTGTAAGCGGATGGATGAGTAGATGAATTTCACACGGACCAAGTGAGGCTTTACTGCGGACACGACTGAACATCTGCCAAAGCGTGATGTACAGAAGTCGCAGTTTCGACTGGTTCGAGAAGATCGTTACAAAGAACGAGAATTGGGCAGCCTACGTAAAGAATACGCGGAGGCCTCAGTCGATGGATGCAAATAAAAAGATTCTCCGATTCCAAAAGATGAGCTCCCTTTAAAAGACATTATGCCATGCGTTCCCTGGACTGTACGAGCTCTGCATCTGGACAACAGCACCACCGTTCATGCACACAGCTACTGTGTGAGTTGCTGCAGGACCTGCAAAAGTGCAGCGCCCTATTCTTTTTTCTCATTCTCCTTCTTCACGACAACGCACATCCTCATTTCCTTCAAAGGCCCAGGGAATGATCCATGAACTTGACTTCGTAGTTCTTTCTCAACCACCATATTCCACTGATCTCGCACCAACCTACTACCATTTGCTTCGCTCGTTTACTCCTTTTTTGGAGAACGGAAGCTACGATGACCAAGCATCTCAATATGGACCTTCAGTCATTCACAGCCAAAAACAGCAGAGTTTTGGTGGAAAGGTATCCTTTCACTAATCAGTCGATGGAGGATGGCTGTAGAGAGTTGTGATGAATATTGCACTTGGTAGAGTTGGTTGTGAAGAGAATTAGGTAATTTCAAATACCAGTATCAGAATCGGACATTAATTATTACTCAACCGGATGAGTAATTATTATTAACACGAACAGCGTGCTCTATTCTAGAGGAGATATGCAAATGTAAGAAAGATGCATGTAAGTTACTACAACTTCAACAACACCACTACAAGTCACACTATTCAGCTATAAAGTAAAGTGCGTGATCATGAAAATATTTCTTTGGAAACTCAACTAATTAGGACATGTTGATTCATGCTAACGCCCACTTATTCAACCACTCTTTTGTCACTGCTCCTAGATAACGTTGAAAGAAAGTTGCACAAAAGTTCTCAATTTTATTCTCGAGATGCACTGCGCATTCGATTCCTATTGAGGACTGCAATGGAATTTGAATGAGAATTTGTGTCTAGACGACGATTTGACGACAAGAGAAACTAGTTGATGAGCAAGCTGATATGAGCAGCCAAAACATATGAGGCTCTTAGCCGAATTACTAGGATATTGAGATTGTAACGGCAGGTGTTTGAAACTGTCATCGTATTCGCCGAAAGCCGCAGCCGTTAGCTTCTGCGATTCATCATTTTTGTATCAGAATTATTTACATTTTATGGTGAGAAATGGAAATCGAATGAGAATGAGAATCACATCCACGTGGATAACTATGTATGCATCTATAACTATGATACCGCACATGTTGTAGAATGCTTCTATGCGCCAGTAATGCGTTGGTAGATGGTATACCTAATCCTTATCAATTCTATTGAACCTGGACAATAAGCTACGATGTCGCTGAAGCTAAAGTTCTCTGCAAGAATTAAATCTTCGAACCGTAGATTAGCAAGGTCCACGTTGAGAATAAGTGAGAATAAAACATGGAAAACAAATGTGAGATCCCATAGACGACGATTCCATAGCGCAGTCCCGCGTAGACGATGAGTGCATGATTGAAAACTCAATTTAACAGTTTTTGTATTTAATCCTTGGAAAAAATACTTAAAAGTTCAGAGGAAAAGCTCAGAATCAAATAATGTCAGCATGGGACAAAAACAGAACCAGAGAGTGCAAAAGGTCTCAGTAGTGGCAGATCAAAGTCAACGCCGAGATTAATTCTGCTGAGGTGTGAGTAATGATGTGTGAATGTGAATACCATAACAGCGAGCTCTGAAGCCATCAAAGTTTTTTTTGCAATTACTTATGCCCTCAGGATTTATGCCTACCGAATGATATATATAAATGAATAAATAAATAACTAAATATATTGGATTGACGTCTATATAGTAAAATCTGAAATGTGTAAACCGCTAGCCAAGATTCTAAACTCCGTCTAGGGGAGAGGCAGGATGTCAACATTAGACACTAGCTACCTGTGCAAAAGCACTTGGAGGCCAATTATCATTTCGGACTTTACCCTTTTCCTTTTTACGTAGTTGGAGATGGTTTTTGTTTAGAATACAAAAATATAGGCGAGTCACTGCTTCGACTTAAAGTACGCATCTGAGTTTTTCCTAGGACACAATAAAAGCAGAAAGACTACATATTTGTTCTTGAACCCCTCTTGGGCGAACAAGATGATGGCATGACTTGGAATGCCTGGTTTCAACGTGGAAGGGCGAGCACACATACATACCGTCCACAGGACATCTTCGGACCGCATCGTCTCTAGAGAACCCTGGCCTCCGCTATCACACGACATGAACCGACTGGGTTATTTCTGCGAGGGTACTCCGAAGGGAAAGACATGTTAAGGGAATCCGCACACTACGAAGGAACTTCAAAATGCATTAACACTTACATTCAAACATCAATCATGATGTGTTATACGTCTTCGAATTTCCCAGAATCTTCCACAACTGTTCAAATCCAGGTAAATCACCTTGTGAAGTCCACACGAATGGCATTACCCCGATAATCCAAGTTGTGATTTGCGGGGGTCATTCGATTCTTGAAGCAATGGAGGTCCAAGCTCGAGGGACCAGAAAAAGAGATGGCAAATATGATGAAGAAGTACCTCGCTGAAACTAATATCGGCAGAGGGTACCGTAGACACAAGGAAGCGAAGATACCTTAAAAGAAGCGCGGACTCTGTGGTGAATGTGTCCTAGCGAGAAAAGAAGAAGTTAACTGTTTGTAGATTCAGTAAAGTTAAAATTTTCTACTTTCTCAAAGTTATACAAACTAACAATTTTAGCCCACTTTATCTATTTACCAGCTTTCAATTAGTAACAGGGACACCATAGCCAGTATGTAATCATGTTTCCGGATTTTGAAAAGTGAACTTGTTTAATAGGAGTCATTTTCGTCAGGTTTCAATGATTTAGTCGAGTTTTTGTTTCGATATTCAGTCTGAAGAGAATCTCATAGAAAATTCATTAATACTTCGCAAGGAAACCGACTCTGTAGGCTAAAGTGAGTCAAGGCAAAACGTTCACGCAATGAGCCGATAAGCATTTTTAATCGCATTCTTTCACCGTACTGTCCAAGTTTGTTTCACCTAATTCACTTAACATGACAATGATTCATACTGCTGCAAGATAATGGAGCGCTTCACTTTACTGATCAAAGCAACTAGGTAATCAAAAGTGCTATAGGAAAGCCAGTTAAAGTCATTTCTAAGCCAGTACCAGTTTTAAAAAAGGTTAGGGAGAAGGAGTACCAATTTCCGTTGTGGTTCAAATGTCTACATATAAATTTTACTATAAAATGATAAATTTTTCCAAAGCATCTATTTATATCTACTTGGAAATCAGATAGTATACTTTTGATCAAACAAATGTCATCAATGGAGATGCACCCGATAACTAGTGTCTGTAACAGATGGTTCTACTTGCCTTATTTACCTTTTGTAGGAAGCCTTTTGATATGCAAATACTCTAACTGTTCAAATCAGATATCCGACTCGGTGCAGATGACGTCATTGTTGTGGCTATCACATGTTTATGTCATGTTTGGTGACAAGTTATGCATGCCATGCGCAACATGTATGACTGCTAGAATGGTTGGCCTTTCTGGTGGCAGGAAAGAGCTCAATCAAGATAGATCCTGTCCCATCGTGTCCTCGCTAAACATCAACTGAAGCTAACTTGTAAACCATTCACATGGTTTAGTATTGTTGACAATACGTCATAACTAACCATTCCAGTAGCTGACGAAGAGCTGAGCGGTCGGGCATCCGATGACGATCGTGCACATCAACTTCACTCGGCCACGCCTCTTTTGTAAACGGTGCTCAGTCGTGCACTTTCGACAAATACTATACATTTTGACTGATTGGCCGGCCGGTTCAGTGTTGGTGCTTATTCATATCGTTTGTTCATCGGCTAACCGAAGATGAGTGCAAGCGAGCGTGATTTTTTTCGTCGTGTGGTCGCGTCGCGACGTCGCCTTCCGCGTGGCTCCGCCTCGTCAGCGAAGAGTGCAACTGTCCTTTTCTTGCGAATACTATACGTTCTCTGGTGTTATCTCTCATCGCGTTGACCCCGATCGTTGACTCCGCCCTCGTTCATTCGAACACCGTCGCAGCTCTCTCCACCCCCAAGCATAGTTATTGCCTGGGCCGCAGCCACGACCACCACCGCCACCTGCAGCCGCGCCACCGTGACCGTGGCGCCGTCGTGGCCTGAACCGGCGATCTCAGAACTCATGACTTCCCGGACCTTTTTTAACCTTACGACCTCGCTCGTACAGCAATTTACTCTCTGATCATTCGACGACATACTCTTACACGTGACTACCGTCATCTTTGTTTTCTTTTCAGATGATTCTTTTTACCGTGGAACAGTTGGAACTTATTCGACGATTACGCAGTACCGGCATTTCGCCAGCACAAGTTGCCGAGGTGATTCATAGCCGAGACTCTCACATTTTCTTAAGACCGCAGAATTTTTTTGGTGCTTCCTCTGAGAACCCAGACTGCGTCTCATACGAACTGAAGGCTCGTTAGATCAGGTAGCCAATGATTTTTCAACTCAGCTAAACTAACTTGGACGGGAGCTGTAGACGAGTTTGAGGTGTTTAATAGTGTCCATAGTCCTATTCCAACAAAAACGTCCTCTACCAGACAGTCCTATGTGTTCTTACTTTTAAGGTGTAGTTCACTTTATCTATGAATCTAAGGGTCTCAAAAAATGGGCTCACTCACTGTCAACGCTGCCCTTCTACCACGCTCCCTTCCCTTTATCGAGCCCTCCATTTTGTGAATGTTTATTCAACTTCAAAGAAGTTGATTGGCTCAAGCAGATTCTCTTGAGGTTTATTTCTAACGATGATCTCTCGGGAAGGGGAAATAGCAATAATAATTGAGAAAAACTTGCATGATGCACAATTCTACTACATACAACTATCAGCTTCTCACAATTATTCATGACATTGAAGTCTTTAGACGAAGAACTTTCATTCAGTTGAGCTCTAGCGAAATTTTTTGAGGCATAAGTGATCGATTCTATTCAATAACATCGATGTGACACAAAGATTGCTTAGTACTAATTACGCCTAGACTAAATAATAAGCATTTTAGTTCTCTTGAGCTTGAAGGAGAAATTACCTCCTTTAAGCTCAAGAGAACTGAAATGCTCGAGCGATGAGAAGCATTGAACTGCTTCAGCTTCGACACTGCTCATTTAACGGATAGCCTTTTATTTTAACAAATATGGTAAGTCTGCAAGGATTATGTTGGTACTGCAAACGTTGCCAAACTACTTTTACCGCCTTCGTGCGACCGCCGGCGCGCAACTCGCATGCTTCAGCGCTTTTTTTAAGAGGGTGAACTGCCTCTTAACTTTCTCTCGCTCTCTTCATCGTCACCACGCTGGCCTTCAATCATTGACGATGGTGTTAGTGTGTGCGTACTGCTGAACAGACAAAGCGCTATCAACTTTTTCCGGTCATACTTAACGTTCCACACACGCTCTTCCGATGAACTTGTCTGGTCAGAGTTTTTCAACGTCTTCTCTCGCATTCATTTCTCTGTCAACACCTATGAGCTATTATGTGACTGATTCGTTGTGGGCGTATGTGAATTGTCGTAGAACGCAACATCATACTCGCGCGTGCTCGTTAACCTACCATTCACGTCAAATACTTCGTAGCGGTATCTACAGCCCATGCCAAATGCAATCTATGAGGCACGCGAAACTACGAGCTGAACATCGCGTTTAAGTCACTTGCTCTAGTCCCGTTAGATTCCAGCAACAAACAGAAATGATCAAAATCACTCGGCTACGATACGTCCATCCATACAAATGCACTTTTTGTATGATTCGCATATGCATGTGTGAGTGTGCGTAGCTGTATACATGTTCATTGAACACTATGATGACGGGACGACAACGCCGACGACCTCGAAAAGTGCACTCTACATTGTCCACGGACAGAATATAGCCAAATTAGATCAGTAGATCTCTAAGGTATTTCGGCGTTCGTACACCAGCCAATGTTACCGTAACCTGCCGCTGCGCAATGCGAGGTGGTACGCAGTCCCAACTATTTTTCTGGCGCTTTTTTTATCAGGAATTCAAGGGAATACTTGAAAGAGCTTTTTTTTGCTCAAGAACCGAGGGAACACCTTAACGAGGACATTGCTTTGACATTTACATTTTTCCGTACCTCACAGATGTTTCCAGAAAGGGCGCCAGCGTTAACAATAGATAGTAGCTGTCCCGATTTTGGAGAGAGAAAGTTTCGGTATCCTGTTTGTACGCTTAAATACTGAAGAGAACAAATCGTGTCTACATTTAGGCGTTTCGGCAGCTCGAACAAGTTGATAATTCATTGGATCAGCCACTGCCACAACAGCCGTCTTCGCTACTAACGAGTTTGATGACGACGATAGAAGCGCAATCGTCACAAACTGACTCACCGAGTCCGATGCTTCTGCAGGCTTTGCAAGCACAACCACCGGTACCTGTTACCATATCCGCCTCACCACCAGAGGTCAGCACCTCAGCAGAAAGGCTCAGCATCCAAACTGTGCCAGTCGCTTCTGCTGCAGCTGCATCCGAGCCCACGACCTCTAGCACTCCAGACACGTCTATCAATGTCTCCGAGGCTGCTACGATCCCCTGCACAGCACCGCCAGCTACATTGCCGCGATACGAGAATAACTCCGGCGGCCGGCCTATTCGAAGTCTGCGCACTCCGATGAAGGAAATTACCACGTTGGACAGACCAGAAGAGCTAGACGAGTTCATGGTGCAAGGCGAAGAGGCTTGCATAGCTGACATGAAGCAGTTCATCACGCAATATTCACTCCGCCAGACTACTGTTGCCATGATGACCGGTAAGTGACTGAGGTTTTTGGCCTAGTTCACCCTTATTCGAGTCTCATTTTAACGTCGTAGTTAGATCTTAAACGGCGAGATAACTGAACGACTCGCGGGACTAATAGCGCATACATACACGATACCGTATACTGTCACCGCGTGGCGCCGTAGTTCCCCGTATGCTGCGTAACGCAAGGTTACACAGGAGAGATTACGGTAGATCCGCAGAGCCTTGTCTTTTCAGGCGTATCGCAACCATATATCTCCAAATTGTTGAACGGCAATCATCGCGAATTATCGTTACGATGTAGAAAGAATATCTACTGCTGGTATTTGAATTGTCGACGTCATCCACATAAACTCTGTAAGTTCACGTGAAATATTGCTTGAATCACCCACTTCTTTTTCGATACTCTATTTTTTTCCCAAAAAATAGAACGAGAAGTCATCAATATATGTCCTTCTGTTTTCTGATTCCACATCCTCTCAATACCATGGTCGACTAGCAGTACTTTCCTAGTCCCATCTACAGATTCTGACACGAAATGATCCCGAAGAGAAGATATGAATTATAAGAAAATGCATTCACCGAGCTCTTTTTGCTGCGCACACGCGAAGGGCTGTTTATTGGTGAACCTCGTTTACCCCTCTTCGACAAGTTCGAAATTATCAGAAATTCCAACAACAACACACAGGGATCAAGTTTTTTCTAAAATGTTCCCGTCTATAGGGAATGGCTCGGTTAGAGCAGTGGTTAATGAACAGTACAAGAATAGCAAGAGCACTTAAGAAGGCCTATTCGAGTTAAGATACGTAGGATCCTTTTCGAATTGTGAGAGCCATAGATGGATGTAATCGTCGACGAATAAATTCCTGTCGGACTTAATTTCTAGTGAAAGCAAGATTGGAATTAGAAGTTTCCAGTGAAAGGGAGGTTGGAGTTTGAACAAAAATCTGCCCCAGCATGAGTATCGTCCTCCCTATTACTCCATTGTTCCTATCACATAAGATAGGCTTTTAAAATTGTGCACAAGTTTGCCACGTCTTTGTTGATAGCGGTGAAGTTAGATTCTTCTGCATCACTATACCACTCCTATTTGTTTGAAAAATTCTTACCTGATGAAGCCGCTTCTTGCGCTCTTCATATCTATTGAACAAATTAACCAAGCTCGATCAACTGTTCCATGGTATTTGCTTAAGCTAATACAATTTTTTATTCTTTCTAATTACTTCAGAAGTACATGCGCCAAATTATTTCAGAGAAAATGAGCTTTAACAGCTAACTTTAACTGTTCAGTTTTCTGCACTTTGTTATGGTCATGCTTAATAGATACTATTTAACAAGTGATTGTCTCCTAATAGTGGTGGATGAAAAGTCGTAGTTAATCCTGCACTTTCGTCACATGAATTATTCTCTTCTATTAGTAATAGTAATGCTAGGCATCAAAAACCTTGAGGAAAAAGCAATTTCCTCTAAAAAAAACCTGATCAGTTTTATAGTTCCTATCCTAAGAGTACGACTCCGCTACATTGTGATGTTCCCACCCGAGCTCAAGTAGCTTCTCTGAATATAACATGAAAAGAGTTAATGAAAAAATCCATCAAGAGATTATTCTGAGAAGTCCGAGGAACTTGGGAGATATTCAAAGGGATGAAATGTCAAGAAATTACTTCATTATTAACAACGACTGCTGATTTATAAGTATCCTAAGTCTGTTAATTTCTCAGAAATACACACGTTGTACAGGTTGACAGTGGTGGATGAAACATTGTGCAGGCGCCCTTGTCCAGTCTTATGCCATGATGGAAACGTGGATGGGGGGGCGTGATGGGAACATGGAGAAGGGGAGCGTATACTGAGCTGTAAATTATGAGCGGATTGTTACTCCTAAATTACTATACTTTTACCGAAGATGGCAGACAGTTCTGAAGTGCTGAAAAGGGGTGCCCAAGAGGTAAGATGGGGTGAATAGGATTAGCAAGCACTTGCCTTCCCATCTGCCTTGACTTGTTCCATTCAGAAATATAGAGCCCACTTGAAAGAAAGTGATTATAAAACTTGTCAACGAGTTCACCGGGAAAAATGATGCTGAAGGTCAATCGACTAATAAGCAAGTGGACGTTTGATGTGTTTAGACCTTGATCCCGTCCGCTAGAGGGCATTAACGAACGTAACGTGAGGCCAAAGAAAGAGAGCAGGTTACATAAACTGCTCATTCCATCTCGCATTTCCCATATGGTCTTTAAAAATCGGAAAATCGAACCTTTGGCTGAGAGAAATTAGGTAAAATAGGATCACTTTAGCATTCTTGGATTCTTTTGAGATCGCGTCCTGCTTAAAGGACTTAGCGAAATCAATGAAACGAATATTTCAGCCTCAGTAGACGAAAATCTGTCTCAAAATTGATGTTATTCTTCCGTCGGTGTTTGATCCATGAAGCGAGTATTCAATTCACCCCTTTTTCGGTTTGATATCTCCTTTGCCTATAAGAGAAACGAGAGTACTTTCTAATGATGTGATCTTTGATCACCTGCAATACATAAACATGAATTTTTTCAAATCCTTTCAGACTTTAAGACCCTCGATCGTCAAAACAATGAACTGGTGTTCAAACCCCCGGTACTTCCAAAAGGAAACTTTTGAACGCTTCGGGACTCATTTCGAACGAGTAGCCTTCAAATACGACTTCCTTTTCGATGAGGAACCAAATGAAGACCTCAATTGATTTTTTTTNTTTTTTTTGTGAGTAAATGGGCGAGCAAGGGATTCAGAAACTAGTCTGCGGGACAAGAATGGTTGACAGTTTCATGAGCCAAGAAATCGAATAACGTGTGGATCAAAAATACAAAATCAGCTTCACTACTCTGTTGGTTGAAAGAATGCGCAAAAACGTGAGGGTGAGTTCTGGAGAGCCTCCCATCCATAACAGATTTGCTGCTGTGTTATGTTCTTTCATGCTTTTCTACCACAGTCCAATATAATATCCAATTTCTCAATCCATTCTGAAAAAATCGTCAGTTTTGACTATATTGTGAATAGTGATCCCGGTCATTAATTTCTACGGTTTGTGTGATCTATGGAAAAGTGAACAAAAACTAAACTATGCAAATAAAAAAGAGAAACAGCATACTTCTAGTCTTTTCGAACAGTTTGGGTAGATCTTTTACTTAACCCAAAATGAAGAGAACGTTTGAAAAGCTGTCCTATGAATTACGCTTTCTTTGACATAGTATTTTTGTACCCGTTCTTGCCTTTTAAACAGTATTATATAAACCATCTACCCAAGAATTTACTTTAGTTTCGTCATGTATACGTGTCGAATCCAATTCCAATTGAATTCAAGGAGTGAATGTGTGGGAAAACAGCTTTGTTCTACTCCCATCTCCCGCACTTTTACCGCAAAACACGCCTATTACTCCAAGAGCACTTGAAATATATGTTGCCAAAGTCTAGACAATTTATAGCAACCATTCGAATCTTTTCACACTCCAACCAGACGACATTTTTGATTTTGCCTGTCCTCAAATGTGATTATTAATATTATATCTGTACCTAATGGTGGTCGAAATGCACTTTCAACATGCAATGCGGTCGCAATGCGTTCTTGTGATTGGAAAAGGAAAGGGGCGCTGCGGTGGTGAGGTGTGGCGACAAAGACCTCTCAAGATCGTATGTTTTTGGCATACATAGCAGTGAAAAAACATATCGTCATCATAATATATTGTGAAACTTTCAATGGATGCAATTCACTACCCACGCAAAGCTCACTTAAATGTATAAAGAGATGATCTAAGCTATAACTGACTCATGTTTACATCTTTACCAATGGCATTACAAGGAATTAGGGATTAAAACGCTATTATTGTTTCATAGAATTACGTGCTCATCTGAATCTTCAGAGCTCAGGAAATAGACTACCAAAATGTCATCGTATGCGCGTTCCAATTAGGCTAACTAGTTCCTGCGATTAGGGAAGTGTACTTATTATAATTGAACACAAAACGAATCACTTCGACAGTACACACCTCAGCAAGCTTTTGGAATGCGAACTGTATACGAGAATGAATACTGGTCGGTATATATCCAGTCTACGATTTACTATGCAAAAAATGGGTGCGAAAGTTTCCGGACAGAGTCAGCGGTGACGGAAGGAAAGTACGAGACCTGCAGTTTTTTCCAGAAGGAAGGAGACACTCCAAGGGTCTCCCAAGTTCGGATTTTCCCGAACTTTGAGCTACCAGGGCACAATTCTCTCCGTGTTGATCTTAAAGAGTCTTTATCTCAAATGAAATGACTGACCAACAATGAATATATCAAAGCGCGAACTAAGTTGGTTCTAAAAGGAAACATTTCTCTAGCCATTTACGTCTTTCTTGAACGGAAAAGTGGTCTCATTAACCACTCGGTTGAGCATCATGTGTGACAGGAGATTTCTTGTACAGATCACGAATCCTGGTGGAGATTACAGCGTCAATTAGTCAATAGTTTTGCACTCACATAAACCTTAATTAAGTATCATTCTTGCGACCGAAAAGTCAAGAAAAACTGAGTCACGCTGGTGCGTTGTTAATCCGATGCTTAAGGGTTAGAGGGAATGTCTGTCGCCGGCGGAAACTTTCTTCACAAGGGATTGTCTCTGGAGAGTGAGAATTTTGGAAGTTCCCATCCAGCCCGACTTTAAAGCAGAATCGTGATGGAATGTGTAAGGCATGATGACCACCTGAATGTGTTATTGAAAACGTGTGGGATGTTGTGCAGGTCGGTTACCCAGGAAGTATTTTAGTGCATTCTAAAATTGTAATTCTGATCCTGTTGCAATGGAATTTAGAATACTTTTATTATGGGCTAAGCATTCGTACTTCTTCATTCATATTAAAAGAGTCAACGTATAGGTTTAAAGCTAGAAGGATAAGTACTACAACTGCATTTTGAAAGGTGCAGGTCTATCCTAGCTCTGTCCAGCTCTTCTGCTGCTTTTCTCAAACTAAAGGCACAGGTCTTCGAGAAACCCATAGCTCGATTCGCAACAAGGGTACGGTAGGAGCGCTGTTAACACGTGCAGCTGTTTTTTGACGACAACGAACTCATAACGGCGGCAGTGCGGGATAGATCTACTGCACAAGTCCCTGAACCACTAAAAATCACGCACCGCTCACGACGTATTAGCACCGTTATTGCGACAGACCTGTACCTTTCAAAATGCAGTTGTAGTGTGCATATTTCATATCAAATGACGCTTCTATATAAGTCATGGCAGAAAATCCAAAAATTTGAAAAAGAGAAAGTACCCCCGTGTTTATGTGCTCTTGCGTGTTTTCAGATAATCCTATCATTAAACAATTGTTACTGACAGTTTTTCAAAG